TGGGACTGGATCCGATACGCTGCGTTGATTCCAGATATGCCGGCGCCGATGATGAGGACGTCGACAAAGTTCTCCCCTTCTTTGGCTGCGGGAACATGCATTGTGAATTGTATATCCAGGGGGGAAAGAATCAGGTCACAAGATCACAAGGGAGGTAGAGATGAGACAGACAAAACACACAAGACTCAATCAAACCATTTCTCTCTCTATTTTTTTTCTTCACGGCTGCCTACCTACATATGTTGGCGGTATCCGCTTCTCCTTTATCATGTTTGATTCAGCTGCCCCAGAGGGGCGAGCCTGATGGTATTCTGGGCCGAGGCATAACGAACAGGCTATACAGCTCCAATGAGAAGGCGATGCATGGAATTGGGTGGTCGATGGCGAAAAAGGAGACTGGAGTCCGAGTAGGGAGGAAGCAAAAATTAGTCGGAACAGGCCGGCAAATTGTGATCTGGAAGCAACACCTCATAACGCAGACACCAGGATCAGCAGAACCCAGTATTGCCGATGGTTAGCCACCAACAAGGTGGGCGCAGAACAAGCAAGCACCAAAACGCCGCATCGCACGTGAAGCTTGGGGCTTCGTCGTAACCGAAATTGGAGCACCACCGAAGTGAGTGGCAAAACCAAAACCAAAACCACAGCCACGAATCACTCCCTAATCAGGTCTTTTACCGAGACATCTACAGGGTACGCAGGCTTGATCTAGCTTACATGGGAAGGTTAGCCGTGGAGATGACGCACTAGACAAGGCCACCAATGATAGGCTTGGAGTCGATCGGGACAATGTGGCGCCGGCTTGGTAGACTCTAACCTTTCCAAGTCAATGTAGAGGGGTTTCCCCAGATGGATTCTTGTGCCCCCTTCAATTCATCTTTTCGGAAGTAGTTAAGGGTTTTTTTCCCGTTGTGGTGATACAGAGTGACTCTCTATGCATGTGCTGTATCGCGACAGCCTTGTCACCACACACCGGGAAATGGTCCCATCCTGGATAACATCTCTGCACGTAGGAGGGTTTTTACACTCTTGGGCGGTCATGTGCATATTCGAAGCATCCGCCCCTCGAACCACTGCAGGGCTAGCCGCGACAATGTCAAGATGGGTTTTGCAGTGCTCTGCTCTTTTGCGGATCTCCATATGCCGTGTGTGCGAGATAGGATCACGAGGAATTTTCACAGTTGGGGCATTGACCCTGGTTGTATCATTCACCAAAAAGAGCATCGTCAAGAGGAAAGGTGTACTTGGCCAATATTCGTCGCATTGCCATAAGCATAGGTAGAGATCTTGGAGGCCGTTTCTCTTGATAGAGGTATACGATATACCGACCGAGTATGCACGAGCTTTTCTCCAAAATGCACGGATCCTCTTAGTCCGACGGCGGGACTCGGGTTCCTCCACTCAATCGCCCTACGCCGACATCCCGATCGGGCAAGTTTCAATTGCCCGCCATATGCATCGGTGTTTACGGAGTAGTGCTGGGTTTGTTGTGCGTCGTATCGCCAGCCAACATGGACAGAGGTTGCAGAATGCGTCTCTTTTGTCCAATCCCGGAATGCCTCGGAGTTTGGGACAGTGGCCGACAATATTTGACACTGCAGAGGTACACACACATTTTGCGTAAGCGAAGGCGTTTACGAGGACGCGATCGGTGGTCCCTGTTCCCCCGGGCCCCCGTCTCTATGGGACTGTTGGTGCATTTCTGGAAATATGGACAGGGATTTTTCGTATGATGGTAGAAACGTATCCGTCCGACACGGTCTTGCCTGTCGCGAAAGAGCTGGAATGCAGAGTAGACAGCGATCTTCGACATCAAGGCCCACAACGCCCGTCGAAATACGAGGGAATGCGGGACCCGGTGTGTTTTTGTCCCGCCAACCTCCCCCCCCCCTTTCTGGGAATCTGCGGGGTCTGATACGAACCGCTAGTCTGACCTCTGACTTTTCACCTCTCAGAACAATTAAGAAGGAGGGCCAAGGCCTCGCTAGATAGGACTGGACGATTACAAAGGCCCAACGTATTGGGACGTACTGTGCCTCGTATCTCGTATACCGTAGAGGGAATCCTCTACTGACGATGCGACGTGCAAGTAATAAGATATCTCTGTTGCCAGAGTCAGGTAGGAACTCTTTCACGTCATGTCGACTTTGGCCTTTGATTCTGTCTTGTCCCGCAATGGCCGTCAACATTCCCACGTCGTTGCTGCTGATCTTCTCTGCAGCGTTGCAAGCTGTAGTCTTGGTTGCAGCAGCTCCCCAGTATTCCCCCGTCGACGGCTTCAATTCAGCCTTTCTCTGCTTCACGCTCCTCAACTTTGCACTATGGTTCTTCTATCTATTGTTCATTTATCCCAATTTCGTCAGCCCGCTTCGAGATCTGCCAATGGCCAAGGTACGTCTTGCAAGAAATGTCGCGTCCAAGGCGCAGGCGGCAGCGTTGATACCGGCACGTAGGGCGCTTTACCCATCATCGGCCACGCCTGGTCCCAGTTCAAGGCTCCGCGCGGAGGCGACTATCAAAGATTTACCCGCGAAATTCCCAATGACGGGCTCATTCGCCTCAAGGGATTCTTGAACACCGATCAAGTATTGGTGACGAGTCCCAAGGCACTGGCCGAGATCCTCGTCACCCGATCGTACGACTTCCCCAAACCCGACAAGGACCGTGCCTTTCTCCGTCAGTTGATCGGGGACGGCCTGGTCGTGGCCGAGGGCGAGCAGCACAAACACCAGCGCAAGCACAGCATGCCCAGCTTCGCTTTCCGACAGATCAAACTGCTGTACAATGTGTTTTGGGAGAAGTCCGTCAAGATGACTCAGGTGATGGATGCCGAGGCCTTTGGGCCAGATCGTGGCCACGGAGGCGCCGAGAACCTGCCGCCTGGGGCGATTGATATTGAGTATTACGCACCGAAAACAACGTTGGACATCATCGGCGTGGCAGGCCTGGGCCGGAATTTCAACACGTTATGCAATTCGGACGACGAGATGGTCAAATTGTATGACCAGCTGGTTCATCCTTCCGTGGGCCGGCAAGTCCACGCGGCAGTGGCCTTGCTCGTTAGCAACAAGCTTGCATCTTTGCTCTGTCGTCCCGTCGCTCACCAATATGATAGCCTCAATGCCCAATTGAGACTTATATGCAGGCAGTTTGTGCGAGAAAAGCGGGAAAGGATGAAGGGTTCACAAGACCAATCCGTCGATACCCTTGCCTCGCTGATCAAGGCAAACATATTCTCGGATGAAGAGCTTGTAGACCAACTGTTGACTATCATAGCAGCTGGGTGAGTGTGACTTTGTCTCTCTTCCGACAATCCTGTGGATGTCCCGCCAGGTAATTGAGCACTAACGTTAGCATTCAGCCATGAAACAACCTCCTCGAGTTTCACATGGGTAACATATCTTCTTGCGCTTCATCCCGACATCCAGACCCGCCTCCGCGCAGAGATTCACGCTGCAATCCCGAATGGATTCTCCACTGTTGATCCCCAAGATACGACCATAGCCTCGGTGCTTGAATCGCTGCCCCTTCTCAACGGCGTGTGCAGCGAAAGCCTCCGCGTCTTGCCAGCTGTGCCCGTCACGATGAGAACAACTAATCGAGACACTACCTTGATAGGCCACCCAGTTGCCGCGGGCACCAAGTTCATCATGGCTCCGTGGGCAGTCAACAACGATCCTGAATTATGGGGTCCCGATGCTCAAGAGTTCCGGCCGGAGAGATGGATTGACCCCGAAACCGGAAAGCCGAACCAGACGGGGGGCGCGTCGACCAACTATGCCATCTTAACATTCCTCCACGGACAGCGAAGTTGTATTGGACAGAACTTTGCACGGGCAGAGCTGAGGGCACTGGTGGCGGCATTTGTTGGAGCCTTTGAATGGGCTCTGCTCCACCCAGAGGAAGAAGTGGTTCCTGCCGGCATCGTGACATCGAAACCAAGAGATGGTCTCGTAGTGACGCTCAAGAGGGTAAAGCCATGGTAGAGGAGCGCTGGGACAGCTCCATAATGCTCGGCATTCGTGATCGTTAGTGCAACCATCTTTCTGGTAGAGGTTTCTCTGCGATATCATCCACAGCTTAATGGTCTTCAAAAGCAGGGGGTCAGGCTGAGTAGGCTCCGGCCCGTGTTTCCTGGTATATAGGTAGGCTGCTTCTGGCATCAAGCACCTTCGTACACAAAGCTAGGAAAGGACAGTCTGATTAGACTTTAGATACCAAAGATCCTCTGGATTTGGCGGCGCCTTGGCACCTTATGCATCTTTTTCTGCTTTTGTATGACCCTGGGTCTGGCTAAGCCTCGCCTGAGCCTCGATGGGCCTGCAGCGTGATTCCCCAGTCAAAGGCATTAGACTCTCCAGGCTTGGGAACGAGGGAAGGCATGCCTGCACTCTGTCCACTGAGCAAGCCATCACTCACCACTCATTCAGCTGAGGGTGTTGTCGATACCGATCTTGTGGAGGCACTTAACATAGAAATACCGAGAGTTTGCTTATAGCACGTCGTAAAGGTACATTCGATGTCACAACACTTTGGTGTAGTCAAGGTATACCTCGTAGTCCGAGAGAATATTGTACGCCTCGATACGCAACCTAACTTCGCTTTTGGGGTTTTAGCCCGCAGTAATGCTACGGCGAGTTCTATTTGGTGACAAGTGCAGATATCTTGGCAGATCGGAGTCGCAGGCTCCGACCCACGCAAAGCGCACATTTCTCAATTATTTTCCCCGCCGCAGCCATTGTCGACGAGATTGATAAAAGGTTCCTTAGCAACCACGACTTCGACGACCTCACCTCAACCTACCGCACCTTAAACATCCTCCCTTGTCACAAGAGAAAAGAACTTCGGTCCTAGCACCAAATTCAAGAACCATGGAGAACGAAAAGGGCGAAATCGTCGATCTGTAAGGCTTTTCCACACCAGCGTTTTCTCACATACTTTCTCTCTCTACCTCTCGCTGTGTGAGAGACGGGAAAGAGAAATCTGATTCTCATACGCACATGGCACTCCTGAGCCCAATCTACTCGGGGATGCCAAAAGGTCTTTTGCGCATGCGCCAAAATGACCACGCCCAGTCCCTAGACTCATCTCGTCCTTTCTCCCATTTCCCTTTGTTCACTGTTTCGAATTTCGGAGCGCTAATACCCCATCTTCAATACAGCTACGTCCCCCGCAAATGCAGCGCGACGAACCGCATCATCAAGGCCAAGGACCACGCCAGCGTGCAGATCTCGGTGGGCAAGGTCGACGAGAACGGCCGGTACACGGGCGAGAACCAGGTGTACGCGCTGTGCGGGTTCGTGCGGTCCCGGGCCGAGAGCGACGACAGCTTGAACCGACTGGCGCAGAAGGACGGGTTCCTCAAGAGTGTCTGGAGCGCGCAGGCCACGAGATAAGCGGACACGATGGCTGAGGGGCGGAGATATCGAAGATCAGGGGAGACAGAGGAGGCGAACAGAGGATGAGGATACGCACGAGGAGACATATTGTGCATAGGAGTGGGCGTACGTGGTTGAAGTGAGGAAGGAGGACTCGATCGAGATTCCTGGCCTGTCGATCATCGAATTCCTCTTCTCGGTCGAGCGATGCACACAGCCACGCCGGAGGACACGATGGTTTGATTGTGGGGGTCGGTGACGGTTATTGCTATGCATGTCATCCATTCCACGACAGGAGAAGCACCTTGCTTCACTTTGCTTGGTCGCAGGAAACGGACATGGTGCACTCTGCACGACCAGCATCAATAGAAAAATGCAAAACTGGGGACGAACCGCTCCCCCAGAAATACACTATTCAAAACATCATCAATTATCATTGTTTTACGTGTTCCCCCCTTCCTCCTGCATGACACAGGCATGGGGGAGTTCTATATTTATGGCTCCTCGGAAATGGACGGAGAATGTGCCACCCGTATCTGTGCTCTGACTCTCAATCTCGGAATAATAAAATCACAGCTCTTCAGAAGGCGGTCTTTATGGCTTAATCTTCGGCTGTTGTATGTACGATTTTTTTTTATCTCTACTTCCCCAGTCATGGCAGATTGAGTCTGAGGAAGCCTTGATGTGCCGGTCGAAAAAATTCGAAAGAAAAAGAAGAAGGTTCAACACAAGGGGAGAAAGGAAAATAGAAGTGAGGCAGCTCAAGGGAAAGAGCGAGAAGAATTCAACGGGGTATCATTTCTAGCCTTCTCTTTGCGGAATCTAGAACTTTTTGTAAGGGATGCCTCTTTTCAATGGCAACATATCTTGAGCGCGTAGGATTCGTGAGTCTTCGTACATGCTGAGTTGTCGCCTGTGATCGGCTCTCTAGTCTTTGTGTAAGCGGACAGCAGGATTCTGTTCAATGAAGTTGAGATCGACTTTATGTCCCAAAAGCTCTCGGATATTGTTGACGCCGTACCTGTTCAAAGACATTAGCATACCCACAAGACAAGACCGAAGGAGCGAAAACTCACTTGATCATGGTCGGTCGCTCCAAACTCAGGCCCCAACCATATATCCGCATATCTTTGGGTAAACCCATTGGCTCCAACATTTCTGGCCGGAACATGCCACTGTTTCCGATTTCCACCCACTTCTTCAGTCCCTCGTGGTAGCTGAAGATCTCCATGCTCGGCTCCGTGTAAGGATTGTACGCAGGCTTGAATCGCAGGTTTCTGATACCCATCTTACCGAAGAAGACCTCCATGAAACCAATCAAGCCGCCCAGTGTCAAACCCCAGTCGGCAATTACGCCTTCGACTTGGTGGAATTCTGCAAGATGCGTTTGATCAACCGTCTCGTTTCGGAAGACTCTGTCGATAGAGAAGTATCGCGCCGGCCGAGGGTTTAGAGCGAGTTTGTGAAGCATGTATGCAGAAATTGCCGTGGTGTGAGTTCGCATGACTAGTCGCAAAGACTCGTCTTCAGACCACGGATATCTGTAGCCTATCGAGCCGAACTTTCCGTTTTCATGCACGGCACGAACATCATCCCAGTACTTCTTGAAGTCCGGGCCCTTTTCCTTCGACTTTGTCCTCTTATGGGAAGGTGAAGGTATAGATTTCTCTCCGGGAGCCGGAGGTTCTGGATCTGCTCGAGGAGGATCGGCTCTGACGGGATCTGAGATGTAAAAGGTGTCTTGTAGGTCGCGAGCAGGATGTTGTTGAGGGACAAAAAGAGAATCAAAATTCCAGAAACCAGTTTCCACATAGCGATTTGTTGGCATCTCCTCAAAACCCATCTCGAAGAAGATCTCTCTGAACTCTTGACGCACTTTGTTGAGAGGGTGAAGAGCCCCGGATGGCGTGGGTGCACCTTTGGCCTTGAAGTTGTATGGTTTCAACTGCACAGTCTTCCAGGCGCCAGACGCCAGCATTTCTGCAGTCAGATCCGCCTCCTCCTTGACAAATTCAGTCGAGAATTTAGGGCCTTTGGAAATCTTAAAGGCGACCGTTTTCTGTTCTACCACATATTTCCTCTTTCTAAAGTCTGCCACGACTTTGGGGTTGTCTAGGGCCTTCCCGGATTGGATCTGTCGTAATTGTTCTTGTACCTCGTCCTGGATCTTGTCCGCAGTCGCCTTGAGAGTGTCCCCGTCTTTCTTGATCCACTTGAGCTTGAAGGCATCTCCCGAACCGAACTTGGCCACGTTTGCGTCGCCCACGGCTGCGGGTAAATCTTTGATCTTCAATCCCTCCAATGCGGATCGAACTGCCTCGAAAACTCTTGCGCCGTTGCTCCCATTTTCTGCAATATCTTGGCCTTCTTTTGTCAGAACAAGTTCCAACCGATCAATCTGCTCTGCTTCAATGAAGTCTCTCGACCGTAATTTGTCGACAGCGGATTTGACACTGACAAAGGTGGCATTGGGAAAGGCTTCCGATGTGATGACAGGACCATTTGCGGAGTTCAGTACTTCAAGCACTTTCGGGGTCAAATCTTCTGCCATGGTTGCGTCCGCCCGGGGGAACGTAGTTGTCGGACAGCAAGGGTAAGAGGAAGAGCAGTTACGAGACAAAATATTATGGCTGGTGCTCACTAGACTCTGACTCCAAGTTACCGAGTAGAGAGAAATGACTCCAAAATGCGGCCGGTGGGTCTAATCTTGATTCGTCCAGAGATTCATGCCGCTTTAGCAGTTCAACATCACACACATGCCTCAGCCTCGCTTAAAGACCAGGGAGATCAATGATTTTGGACTATGTGATAGATGTATCGTTGCAAAGCGTCAAACACCAGTGAGAAAACGCACTCCTCTATCGCCACAGCTATTCCAGCCTCGTTGGTAATCTATGAACTCTATCCACGAACAAAAACCACGGATACATGTGCCTTACAGGAGTCTGGTTTTCAGACATTCCTCTGGCCTTCCATTTCAGACGGCGAGTTGTGCTCGCGTCTCTGCTTCCAGGCTTTCCCAAACATGATTTGGACCAGAGCAAGACTACCCAGTACGAGCATGATACCCGTTAGTAAGGTAAAGGTCCAGCCGACATGAATGCTGTTGATCAGAGGCCCAACCACAGCAGTTCCGCCAGCTCCTAAGAGACAGCGAACGAGATTTAAGGAAGCCGTGGCTGAGGCACTCTGAGTATGGTGGATGTCGACGAGGTAGGTCGAGATCACGCTTTGGAGAGAGATGGCTGCCCAGCCCAAGACAAAAAAACAGATGATGGGCACAGAGATATGAACACCTTGGTCGACGGTCCACCCAAAAATCAGCACTGACACACATTCAAGTGCACTCCAGAGCCAGACAGTCCTTAGCCGAGCCTTTTCAATAGGCACGCGCTGTTCATCGCCGCCATACTTGCGTAGAATCCGCCTGTAATCATGATCCAGGAATCTACCGACCAGAACGGTGCCGATGATGGACCCGGCTCCGTTGGCCAGGAAGATGAGACCAACTTGGATTTCTGAAGTATGATATTTCTGTTGGACGAGCACGGAAACGGCGGTGAGAACCATTTGCCACACTGCGTAGTGGACCGCAACGTAGAAGATAGCGCAAAAGGTATTCCAGTGGAATAAAATCTTTGCTGGACCCAGAAAATCGGTTCGTTTCGGCGCGGGTTTCTCGCCCTCTGCGGAGGGGTTGGTGTCTTGCCTGAAGTGCTTCTTTCTCTGATACAGTGCAAGAGGGGACATGGCATATCGCTTTGGCTCTTCCGCTCCATTTCCCACCATGGACCTCAATGTCTCAGGCAGGACCAGGACAATGACAAGGACACAGGCACCGCCATAGATAGTCAGAAACCAAAACACTGATCTCCAGCCCATCTTGTCCGATAAGACACCACCAATAACAGGGCCGATGGCGACCGGCATCAAAAGTCCTCCTTGGAAAATGCCCATATAACCAGCTCTTTCTTTCCTCGTTGTAATGTCGCCAAGGACTCCAGCACCCAATGCAATGGTACTAGCACTTCCGGTACTTTGGACACAACGAAGAACCAACAGTTGCGCGTAGTTTCGTGTCTCTGCCAACCCGATACACGCTCCAAGAAATACGACGAGAGTACAGATATAGGTAATGCGGCGGCCTTTGGTATCGGACAACGAGCCCCAGAGGGTAGGCGACAAGCCTTGAAATATCAAGTAGCATGTCACGGTGAGGTTGATGAGGCTGGTACTGACTGACAAGTCATCGGCGATTTGAGGGAGGGCGGGAAAGTAGATATTCGACGCAAAGCCTGAAAGTGTAGCCGCAAATGAAACAATGGTGACAATAAGGGCTTTTTGTGAAAGTGTGAAGATTGTGTAAGGTTTGGAGGACTCAACCTGTGTCATAGCTTCGGATTGAGACATTTTGAACCTGTTGTTAGAGAAAAACAGCATGCTGCTGGGGTGCTGGCTGTCTATATATGCCTGTGGAAGTATCCAGCCACACCCTGGTCGGTGCGGACAGGGATGTTCGGAGTTCCGACACCGGAGGCAAACAGGGAGATTCGAGAAGACATTCGCAGCGTCATCGGGGGGAATACCGCAATGGTGTCGTCTGAAGCGTATTTACATACTTTCCTAGGCTCACCTGGTGAATACCATCGTCGCCAAAGGGTTCAAAGACCGAACCCCTAATGGCGGTATCGACAAGTCTTGAGTTGGAGGTGATGAGCTCCAGGTCCGAAATTTGATCATTGGAAGTCGGGTCTACGTAGCCCTTGGCTGACTATCGGATTGGTGAGCTTTGGACTGAATGAAATAGAGTATGAATTACTGATTCGCGACAGAGAGGTTGTCGCAAGACCAAGTGTATGTTCGGATGGCACAGCAAGATATGGATGAATAGAGTGGGCGGGGATAAGATGGATCAAATCCAAAGCAACTTAGCCGAGAATACGTCTGGAGCGCTATTCCAGAATAGGCAAAGCGCGTAATCTCATTACGCTCACTCCATCTTCGGGATCCTTGACGCCTCTTCACTTCCTCTACTTCGTAATTCCAGGCGAAACCGGTCTCCCACTGGCCATGAGTCCGAAGGATTCTCTACCCAGGAAAAAGTCCTGCAATCATTGCTACAGATCGAAAGTGCGGTGTGACCTCAAGAGACCGTCTTGCACGAGGTGTCGCAATCGAAGCCTGGATTGCACCTACGTTGATGCAGGGCTTGTCGACCACATCGCTGTCCTTCAGCCTTCACCAACCACCACCGATGGAGCCGGACTCTCGCCTCAACTTGCCGCAGATCTGATCAGCACCGACTCGCTGGATTTCGAAAACATCCATCTGATATGCACAGTGGATGAACACAAAATCCGCGGCCGCTGGCTGGAGAGCCTCCTACCTTCCATGGATCAGAGGCCGAAGCCTTATCATGCGTCTACGATGGCGTTCGTCACGCGCATCTTCAAGTCATATCCTAAAATGTTTCTGACCGACAATCTTCCTCCTTTCATTCACTGGTCTCAAATTGCGTATGGCATTGCTGAGCCGTTAGCAGATTGCGTGAAAATAGCACGCATGTGGGTGGGACAGACCCCTGAAAGCGCAGCCACGGTCCAAGAAATCATCGGACAGGAAATGTCGCGGGTATTTCAAAAGGCACGTACAATCTTCTTCAAATCTGGTTTCGAGGCTGAAATGAAGCAACCAGCGTGCATTTTCAGGTCACTTGGAGCTTTTGACCATATTACAGGTCTATCTTCTCTACGCCATCATGCTCTTCTCCTCGGCCAATGCTGCGAGCTTGGTAGAACAAGATATCATGATCAAACTCCAAGACTTAGCAGGTGACGTCGCAAGTAGAGGGACCCTTTGTCCTGCCGAGACAAATGGCAGTCGACCCGACTGGGAATCGTGGATTGTCGCTTCCACGAAAAGAAGGACACTATTCGCTACCTGTTTACTTGACAACCTGGTCAACTTCACCGTGGGCACTCCATCTTTTGTTGCTGTAGAGCTTGCAGGCCTCCCAGCTCCGGCGAGCAAAACTCTCTGGAATGCGCGCGATCGTCGATCGTGGAATACAGCTTATAACCAGCAGCTGGGCCTCTGGAGCGATGGCGAGCTTCTCATCAATGATCTCTGGCCATATCCTGGACCAGATCCAGCACAGGTGCGACAGAGAAAGATAGATGATTGGCTGGCATCCGTGGACGAATTTGGTATGATGGTATATGCCGTGACCTCTCATACATACAGTGAGACTTGACGACTACTTTCCTAATGCCCTCAAGACTGGATTCGGGTATTGTGTTTTATGGGTAGTTTCCCTTGCGGAAACACCAGCTGCTCAATAGAGCCAGTCTTTGTGTCGTGATGAGCCGCGGAATAAGGAGAGCAACTGGTCTTTTGCGAGCCCGCCGCGTGTGGCTTCTACACAAACAAATGGTGCCGTCTGACAAAGCTGGCGCTTGACAAAATACTCGAAGAGGAGCTTTGGGCCGACCAATTGTCATTCGGACTCCATGGATATGGAGGACTGCCAGCTGATCGTGAGGTGCCGGCGAACCGCCTGCACGAGAAACTATCAGATGAGACATGCATCAGCTTGGATCAGGGTGCATTCGTGCATGTGGCGGCCGCTTGGTTATGGTATGTGTTTGGTCACAAATATGTGAATTACCAAATTAAGTGGGATGTAGATAAGCTTGTTACAAGAAAGGCGGAGATTGTGGAAAAGGATATGCTTCTGCTCTGTGGCGGCAGTAGTACCAAGAACGTTTTCACATGTCTTCAATGTCGTCTTTACCCCTTCAAAAAAGTGGCCTGACCCGAAGAGAGTTACAGTGGTGCCAACATCCTGTGCGCTGACATGTGAATGTAGATAAACACATGCATGCAATGGGGAGCCATGCGGTCGAGGGCGAGGGACATGAATGGATGTTTGTGGTGGAGTTGGGAAGAGAAGCTTTTTGAGATGGCCACGTGATAACGCAACTAATGTGAGGCATCTCGGAGGACCTTCCCCTATAGTCTTATCGTTATCGTCACTATCGATACAGGGTCAGTAGGGTTGATGGGGTGTCCCGCCTGCGCAGCCACTCAGCGCCGCAAATTGTTGAGCTTCTATTGTCGCAGTCACTTTTTTATTCCCTGCGATTTTTCTCCCCTCACTCCACGTTTTACATTTTGTATCCGCGACACTCAGACCCAACAGCTTGGTCCTAGACATGGGTACTGGACTCTTGGTTTCGGTCGATCCAGAGGACATTCTCAAGAAAGAGGTCGACGGCCTCACTCTTGACCAAGTCGCCTACCTGGGGCATTGTCTGATCGAAGTCACCCCCGAGACCTTCGACTCCAATCTTGCTTTTCTACGCCGCAATTTTTCCAGGCTCGACATATACCTTGATGTTCGAAAACTGAAGAGTTGGGACAATGTCATTGACATTCTCAATAATGGAGCGTCCAAAATCTTCGTCACCTTTGAGCAACTAAAGGCTCTGTCGCAAGAGCCTACCATTTCGGCCGACCGCCTTGTGTTGACGATTTCCCTTGTCAATCCGAAAACAGATATCGCAAAACTTAAGGCCTTTATCGATGACAATCCAAGATGGAAGACCGCGGAATGGGCATTCGATGGTGACAAAGGAAACGAGCATGTGGATGGTGTGTTGAAAGAGCTGGATAATTATCCTCCAAGTCACGATCAGACCATATTCGTCTCCGTTGCAAGCGAGACTGAAGGGAGAAACTTGCTGCACGAATACCCCGGAAATGCTCTGATTGTCTCTTCTAGAAAGTTGACCTTCGACCCTTCCAAGGACGAAAACAAGAGCCTGATTCCTGCTGTGGAGCTGATCCTCGCGGGGGCCACCGCGGATCGAAAGACAGGCCTTTACGCAACTACAGTGGTTGATGAGCGTGGCGTTGCGCTGGGCCTGGTCTGGAGCAGCAGAGAAAGTATCGCCGAAGCCCTCAAAACAGGAATGGGCGTTTACCAAAGTCGAAAACGGGGGCTATGGCACAAGGGTGCCTCTAGCGGAGACATCCAGGAACTCATCAGTATCGGCTTTGATTGCGACAAGGACTGCTTGATCTTCAGGGTCCATCAGAAAGGACAGGGCTTCTGCCATCTGAGAACTATGTCATGCTGGGGCAAGGTTTCTGGGCTCTCTAGACTACAACGTACACTACAACAACGTAAGATCGATGCACCTGAAGGCTCTTACACCGCTCGGCTTTTCAACGACCCGAAACTTGTCAATGCAAAAATCAAGGAAGAAGCAGATGAGCTTTGCGCAGCTACTACAAAGGAAGAGATTGCCTCAGAAGCAGCCGATCTGCTCTACTTTGCTCTTGCTCGCTGTATCGCCGCGGACGTTACTTTGGAAGATATCGAGAAGAACCTTGACCTGAAGAGTCTGAAAGTGAAGAGACGAAAAGGCGACGCAAAGCCCCAGTACGTCGAGGAGACGCCTGTCGCTGAAAAGCCACCGCCTACGACCAACGGCATCGACGGCCACAAAGATGAAGAAGTCAAAGAAGCCGCATCTGTGCCAAAAGGACCTTCGGATCCTGCCGGTAAGACCGAAAGTGGTCGGATACAATTGACGCGGTTTTCGACATCGCAAGCTTTCTCGGACGATATCTTGAAAGCTGCCTTACAACGACCTTCGCAAAAGTCGAATGAGAAAATCATGTCTCTGGTTCATCCCATTATTGCTGATGTTCGTGCCAATGGCGACTCTGCTGTTCTAAAATATACCCACAGGTTTGAGAAAGCCACCGCTCTGAAATCCCCTGTACTAAAAGCACCTTTTCCTGAGTCTCTTATGCAACTTCCCGAAGAGACCATCAAAGCGATCAATACTTCGTACGATAATATCCTCAAATTCCATGCCGCCCAGAAACCATCAGCACCGCTGGTAGTGGAGACAATGCCGGGGGTGACCTGCTCTCGGTTTTCGAGACCGATTGAGAAAGTTGGTTTATACATTCCGGGCGGAACAGCGGTTTTGCCTTCCACGGCGCTGATGCTCGGTGTCCCAGCAATGGCTGCAGGATGCAAGAATATCGTCCTCGCATCGCCACCGAGATCTGACGGCACACTCACACCAGAAATCGTATACATTGCGCACAAGGTGGGAGCAGAAGCCATTGTCCTGGCAGGCGGTGCCCAGGCTATCGCTGCCATGGCCTATGGGACAGAATCTGTCACCAAGGTCGATAAAATTCTCGGGCCTGGGAATCAGTTTGTCACGGCCGCGAAAATGATCGTCAGCAATGATACCTCCGCCGCAGTATCAATTGACATGCCAGCTGGCCCGTCTGAAGTGCTCGTTGTGGCGGACAAGACAGCCGATCCCGCCTTTGTTGCCAGTGACCTGCTCAGTCAAGCCGAACACGGCACAGACAGTCAAGTAGTCCTGATTGCTGTTGACCTGACGGAGGAGCAGCTCCAAGCGATCGAAGACGAAGTGCACAAGCAGGCGCATGAACTCCCACGAGTGGATATTGTTCGGGGAGCCATCGAACACAGTGTGACCATCTCTGTGAAGACTCTCACAGAGGCTTTGAAGTGGTCGAATTACTATGCACCTGAACACCTCATCCTACAAATCGCTGATCCCCGCGCCGTACTACCCGATGTCCAGAACGCAGGTTCCGTGTTCCTTGGAGGCTGGACGCCCGAGTCGGTTGGCGATTACTCTGCTGGCGTGAACCACAGCTTGCCAACATACGGCTACGCGAAGCAATACAGCGGCGTCAACCTCGGAAGTTTCATGAAGAACATCACCAGCAGCGAAGTCACAGAGCAGGGTGTTGGGGAGGTCGGCTACGCAGTGATGGAGCTTGCACGATGCGAAGGCCTCGACGCCCATCGACGAGCCATGGAGATTCGTCTAGAGAAGCTCGGACTGATTAAGAAGAACAGCCTGCAGACAGTCAATGCTCCTGTTGAGGGTTCAAAAAGCTGATTCAGAGGCCAAGAACCATAATGGTTCACCAAGAGAACGTCTCGAGTCAGTTTCTGGTACTGGACGGTGAGCCAGGATGGTGCGGGCGCATTCTAAAAGCCAACAGGGAGTTGAAGGTCAAAGCCTTAGCTTGTTGACATTACGTTTGTTGGATTGTGTCGATGACTTGACGAGAGCATTATTCTATAGATCAGGACCTCATTGAAAGACTTAGACTATGTGACAAGGTCCCCAAAATCAATACGAGTTGGTCTCACGAGGCTGACCAATCATGACTGAGATAAAGAGCCGGTAAGGCTCTGTCCTTATACAAGCATTCGGAGTAATATTCATCCGCAGGCAACAACTGACTCACCCCCTGATGACCAAGTCCAAACAGTAGTTCAGTAGCCTTTCTCATCCCTCGTCGCTCCCAATAAACTATCTTTGAGGACTAGATTACCCATGATACCTAGAGATCCTGGGGCCGATGAACGATGGAACCCTCTGACGAACACGAAATCCACAGTGATGGCAGCGAAGAGAGCGACGATGCCTCTGCGCCCAAAGCTCGAACTGTCCGGTCCAGTCGAGCATGTATAACCTGCAGACGAATGAAAACAAGATGCGAGATCGACGAAGCACTGGGCAATGCATGCAAATTGTGTATACGAGCCCGTCGACAATGTATCATGCAGGATGTACCGCGACGGAGGAAAAGAAGGACCACCGACCGAGTTGCTGATTTGGAGCAGAAAATCAATGTTTTGACTGCGCTTCTGACTTCTAATGAGACAACCAGTCCTGAAGATCAGAAGAAACTAGCCAGTGTCCGTGACACTTTGACTGGAACCTCAACAAACAACCCGCAGACATCAGCCGAACCCGACAAGTCCCTCATTACGGAAGCCTTATCTCGCGGTTTGCTCGACTGGGATACTGCCCGCAAGGCTTTTGACCGATACAAGAATGAAATGTGTCGGTACTTCCCATTTGTGGTCTTTGGGTCTGACGTCGATGCCGAGACAGTCAAACAGCAACAGCCACTCTTATTTTTCGCTGTAATTACAGTTGGCCTTGGTTCGATGCATACCACAGTGGATGCAGAGCTATGCGACATGCTCATCAAAGATCTAGCCCTGCGTGTCGTGTACAACGGTGAACGATCTTTAGAGCTTGTTCAGACTCTAATCGTTCATATCGTATTCTACGGCAGGGCGAAAAATATGCGAGATCTCAATTTCAACCAGATGGTGCACATTGCCAGCACAATGGCGCTTGATATCGGCTTAGGCCGACGCCCCCATAAATCGACGTTGAAGCAAAGGACAGATCCTCATCAACTGGAATCCCTCGCAGGCCGAAGGGCATGGTTGGGCTGCTATTATATGGGAACGAGGTGAGATGCCAATCGATCATGTTGAATAGTATCTGATAGATCTACCCAGTGTCTCAATGTCACTTCGCCACCCCGCCTTCGTCCGCTGGTCCGTGTACACCGAGGAATGTCTGGATGTCCTCTCTGCTGAGGAGCGTGTCTTACCAAGCGACATGTGGCTGTGCGACTTGATACGTATTCAACGCATTGCAGAAGATGCCTCAGTCACATTTTCCATGGACGACCCGGGTGCAATTGTTACACTCCGCGACGTCAAGATTCAGTATCAGATACGAGCCTTTCGTCAACAATTGGACTACTGGCGTCGCCATGCCAAAACAGATTTGAGCCTGCGTAAGTAACGAGTCAGATCTATATTGCAGAAGCTGATACCGAATGTCCGAAGACTACGTCCGCCATGTTGCCGCGTATACCGATCTCTTCATCCATGAAATCGCCCTGCATCCGGAACATGACATTGACGACCTACGTTCACCACTCCGAGCGGCGCCTCCGCTCCCTATTCCGGCAGTCGAGAGTATGACATCAAAATTCAAAGACCTACATTTCATCCCCGCTAGAGTCGAAGCATTGTTTGCCTGCCTTGCTGCAATTCACGAATGCTTTGACGCATTTCTCTCCATGGACTTGGCTATCCTTTGCAGCTTGCCTAACGTTTTCTTTGTTCGCACCGGTTACGCAGCTCGAGCACTTCGCAAATTACTCAGTATATGCGATAGCCAGGCAGAGTTCGAAGGGAGGTCCCATATCGACGTTCGAGATTTGAAATTTGAAGAGTACTTGACTGCCATCGTCGATGTACTCAGGAGGGTCTATGCTCAAAACAACTCTGTGGTGGCGAGAGCGTTCTGCTTGGTCCTCTCGCAGATTCAGACACAAGGACTAAATTCATCCAGATTGCTTGCTGCGATGGCGCAAGCGGACCCTGCTGCAAGTAACAAAGCCAGAGCCGCACTAACTCCCGCCTCTTCAATGCCGCCAGATGAACGCGTTGGCCTTCCTTGCATACGCGCCCATGAGAGCCAACAATCACACGGAACAGATTCTCTTGTGTATGATTCTAGTAACCTGAACAGTGTGCCTCCAGCACCACTACACCATGGACAGACTCCGCTGGATGCACACACTCAATCACAAAATGCACAGATGCTGGAGAATGATATGGACGACGCCTTCATGGGTGGTATTGATGTTTTGCAGTGGTTCGGACAGGACTTGGCCTTTGATGATACAGCCGGGTACGACTATGACAATCAACTCACATCTCTGTATTGGCAACAATAATACCTCCACCGGTTCAGTGAGTTGATACCGATCTCAAAGAGACCGTTGAACAGACTTGGGGGATCTCGCCCCTTTTCTGCGTGCTCAGGGACTGGGATCATTACGACGAGATCTCGCACATGCAATGATTAGATCGGCATCTCCCTATGGAATTACGGTCTCAAGCTAACTCCTTCGTATGAGCGTTGCTGTGGAATTTCGAGTTTGCTTGTCCTCTTATCTCCAACAGCTGCGTCTCGAGATCTTCATACATGAGTTTGAAATAGTCTCGCTGGGCCCGGGTGTGCTTCAATTCCTCACTCAAAGAATCAATATTGCGGAGGGTTTCATGGAGAAATCGATTGCGCTTTTTCCGATGTCGAACTTGCGCTGCCCGGTTCTGTTGTCTTCGACGCTGGCGGACATCTTGGTCAGACAGAGTACGACTTCCTTCTCTGGGGTACAGATACCTCTTTCCTCGTCGGAGCCGTGGGCTTTGGCTCTTCCTGGCCCTCTGCCTCGAGTTGGGTGAAGTGAGGTTCCAAATCGGTCGAATCCCAGTTGCTATGCTCTGTGGGCGACTGTCCGAGACTGTTGGGATCGTGACGCGACACCGCGGAACTAGCAAGACAGCCGCATTGGGAGCCGAGGGATTCGCCGCAGACGCAGCTTGCCAGAACTTTCTCGTTCCAAAATACAATGTTCGGGAAGAAGTCCAAGTCCACGTTTGGAAGAGCTGTTTCCCAGCCCAGCTCCAACGGAACAGACTTCATCGCATTCATATCGTCCATCGCCTCTTGGGTCACATGCAGCGATTCTTGTGGGGGGTCGCGTTCATGCTATACCATCATGGTGTCGTCCGTTCTCTAGAGGGACCAGTGAAAGACTTGCGATCGGTTCTGTGCGAGGTCAATTAGAGGCCGACTTGATGCCTTGAAAGCGAAGGAGGGATTCGCAGCCGGAGCGTCAATCAGAGGTTACTCACGTTGTTATTCTTCCTATACAGCTGAGAATCCCAGATACAACGGCCAAAAATCCAGAGCTTATACATGGACACCTCCAGCAGATTTAAAAGAATTCCAGCCACGGCTTACTGTTGAGATTGCGGCACGAGAGACCAGAAGGGCCGCCAAATACCCACTGTCAGGTCTCATTTGTGTCGTTCGAGATTTGGGCCCCCATTGCTTCCCGTTCCTCATACAGGGCAACCATGCACCTTGCATTCACCCGCTCTGTGATAGCTCAATAATTGGAGAGATAACAGGCATTCTGCGGCACAGGTGACTTTCTGGACCTGGCAACTGGCTTCGAGGAACGTGGCTTGCAGCGCCCCCTGGGACCATTCCCATTTTCACACGAGATATGCCTAGCGTGGATAGGATGTGCAAAGGTTCTGGAACGATCTCCATAAATTTCTCGTGTCGGTCATTCGCTCTTGAACCCGAACCCGAAGCTGGCTTGACCGGAGGGTTTGGAAAGGCAAAAGGGATACTGGGAGACACCCCTGCAGTGGCGAATTGGCAATGTAAGCCCGCTTTGACCGACCGGGGGTGTTGGTTTTATATTGATTGGTGGCATGTGATAGTGAACCCATCTTTGCTCAAAGTATATACCCGAGAAAGCCCAGATACCAGATCCTCAGACACTAGATCATTTGACAGGGTCCCCGGTAAAGTTACGCGGGTTTCAATCCCACTTCTAACTCCTGAATGGTCATGGGACACATTCCGCAAACTGATCTTGAAAGCATGTGCTGCCGGGTGCCTGAGAAGGTCCCAGCAGGGTGTGGTGTGTCGTTACCTCGCCCGGAATGGTTGATGACTTGAGGATCGACATGACATGCTTTCTTTGTGTCCTGGTGCTGACCACTTTACTTTAGTCGTGGCTTTCAACCGGAGACGAAAGTCACCATTTAACAGAGGTTCGATTCGGATCTCCAACGGCATTTACTCCCCAGGAGGCACTCGATAGACCATCTGCGGCGAGTGGAGCGTTCCCCCCTCTCTAAGTTCGACCACCTGGTTCCACAGGTCTCTGTGCTGTCTGTCATCCTGGTGCTCATGCCATATGACCTGTTTGAGACTGGCCTTCATGCCCTCCCAGGAATGGATCCCCAGGTCCGCCGCCGTGTCTGCGAGCTGGCTCACGAACCATTTGCGCTGTGCTGGGCCGCAGGGACAGGTGCCGCCGACGGACAGGAGCCACAGCAGCAGGTTTGATCTTACCCCGCCTCGTTCGGTCAGGGGCCGCAGTGTGGCTAGCAGGTCATGCTGGGCCGTGCTCACCAGGAGAGAGGGGTCGGGCTGGTGCCCACACCATTGGGCGAAGACGTGGATTATCAGGGCGTGACGACACGCTG